GCCGGCGCCCGGAGGCTCGCCGCGGCGGGTCATCGTGCAGGCGTCCACCGGCGAGCTGCTGCGCTGCCTGGGCGATTTCGTGTGCCGACGCTGCTACCGCCTCAAGGAGCTGAGCCCCGGCGAGCTGGTGGGCTGGTTCCGCGGCGTGGACCGCTCGCTGCTCCTGCAGGGCTGGCAAGACCAGGCCTTCATTACGCCCGCCAACCTGGTGTTCGTGTACCTGCTGTGCCGCGAGTCGCTGCGCGGGGACGAGCTGGCGTCGGCCGCCGAACTGCAGGCCGCCTTCCTCACCTGCCTCTACCTCGCCTACTCCTACATGGGCAACGAGATCTCCTATCCGCTCAAGCCCTTCCTCGTGGAGCCCGACAAGGAGCGCTTCTGGCAGCGCTGCCTGCGCCTCATCCAGCGGCTCAGCCCGCAGATGCTGAGGCTCAACGCCGACCCCCACTTCTTCACGCAAGTCTTTCAAGACCTCAAGAACGAGGGCGAGGCCGCGGCGGCAGGCACCGGGGGTCCACCGAACGGAGGCACGTCCACCACCTCCTCCACGACCGCCAGGGACAGCTGCGCGGCCGGAGCCAAGCATTGGACTATGAACTTGGACCGCTAGGGATTCCCAGGGGTCGCGCCCGCCCCCCGCCCCAGCCCCTCACACACACACCCGGAACCGCCGGGACCATCAAGCCTCCGCCGCTATTACCGCCGCTCTACGCCCAAGCTGGGCCGAGGAGGAGCCGCCCCTGCCCCGGGGCAGGGGAAGGTGGAGGCTAGGACGCCAGAGGCCTCGGTGTCTGGATTTGCTGGGCGTGGGGTGGGCGTGGGGGATGATCGCGGGAAGGGCACCCCCAACTTCGTTCACCCTTTCCGTCTGTCTTCGCCTCCATCTTTCCATCTCTGCCCGGGTCTCCCTCTTCCCTGCTGTGGGCATCTCCAAGTCCACCACCTTGGGTTTTGCCAGTTCCTCACCTTTCTGTGTCTTCATCCCTCCTTCCGTCTGCAGCCTCCTCTCTCTGCCTTTCCCATTGGTTTCCCTGGGCTTTACCCTTCTCCACCTTACCCGGAGCCTGATAGTACCCCATTGCCCTCCCTGCTTCTCCAAACCCGTGTTTCCATGATCCCTTCCTCCTGTCCTGTGTCCTTCCCTCTCTGCCTTCCCTGTCTGCCTTCCCTCTCTGCTTGTATCATCCTGCATCCCCCCAACGCCCCCCTCCCCGAGATTCTGCACTCCCCTCCCCAGATCAAAGAGACCCTTAGTTTTTTTTATTTGGATGGACTGATGTGCGACAAGAATCTGCAGTCCCAGGTGCCCAGGCAAAGATCAGGGTGGTCCTTTCCCTCGCCCCTACAGCCTCTCCCCACCTTCCCAACGTGTTGCATGCTGGGAGTTGAGGGGGAAAGGGCTGCTGCCTTGGTTCAGGAGACTGAGATTTGAGGACAAGATCTATCCTGGTAGACTACCTCGCTTGCAGCGGTGGTGTCGTCTCTGTGGATGGGTAGAAAGAGAAAGAAACCTCTTCTTATTCTGGGGGAGGGGTGTCCTCTTCCTTATCCTTAGATTTCTTGTTATATTCCCCTCTCCACACTTTAATTTATTTCGCTGTTTCAGGAGGGAGGGTGGGTGGGGAGGGGGCTGGGCCGGGAATTGTCCGAGGTGCTGAGCTGGGCGGGACCGGAATCCTCCTTGGAGAATACCAGGGACTGGGTTGGGCCTAGGGCCGTGTCCAAGGTGCCAATGATGCGGGCCGACGGCGCGGGCCGCACTATCTGTCTGTCCGTCTGTCCTGGAGAGAACTATAAAGCGCTGGAAGCGCCTACAGATGGTTTTGCGCCGGCCTTTCTTTGGGTCCCTGGAGGGTGGGAATGAAACTGTCAGGGGTAGGGCAGGAGGGTGAGAGACAGGGGAAAGCAACCTGCTACCTGCCCCCACGGGCTTTCATTTTAGAGTAAAGCGTGATAAGCCAAGGGTTGAGGCTGAATCCACCTCCCCATCCTGACCTCCATCTTGTCTGCCCTAGCTCCTTATTAATGCCCAGGCTACTTAAGGACACATGGGACAGCAGAAGTCACTCCCCTGCTATGAGGTGACCCTTGAGACAGAATTGGCTCGCCACAATAACTATTTTTCTTTCTTTTCATTCTTCCCACCATATATTGGATCAGGAGGCTAGCCAGGCCTGTCTAAACCTGTGCTTACCTCTCAGTTGGGAACTGAGTACCACCTCTATGTACCCAATCGCTAGGGAGTCGCACTGAGGCTGCTTTGGACACAGGCCTAGCCAGAGCAGTCATTGGAGGCCCATTCCTGTTTGAGACTCAGACCTTGACCCTTGACCACCAGAAGAGTGTAGAGATAGGCAGAAACAAAAGGGGAGACGAAAGCCATTTCGAATTGAAGGAAGGGAGGGAAAAAAAGCCATTTGGCTACAAATTCCTCCTTAGTCCCCCGGTTGCCTTCTCAGTTACACAGCGAAACAGCACGTTCAGTGCTGCGCCCGCTCAAGGAGGACCGATTGCAGGCACAGCGTTTGCGGTCGCGAACCTGGTGGCCACTGTGGCCGCGAAGATCCAGGAAGAGTTCCGGGAGGGGCCGGCCAAGAAAAGGCCTCGGGTTCGCTGTCCGTGGTGCTGAAGGGTGCGTTCGGGCAGGGTGGGGGCTTGCCCTATCAGCAAGACGGGGGAACTCGGCCTCAGCTAGATCTTCTGAATAATTTAAGAGTGGGGTGTAAGCTATTCTGGCGGCAAGTTACAGGAGTCTGGCCCCGGGAACCCAGGAATGTTGCCTCCCCTTGGCCCTCCTCGGAGGACGGGACTTGGCTTTCACCTGGCCTGTACCCATAGCCAGAGCACCCGGCCTGGAGGCGGAAATCCTCGGTCCAGATTTGTGAATCGAGTTCCCCGGGGGGAGGGGGAAAGCTAGCGGAAGGGAAGGCGGGAGCAGCCGCCTATTGGCTGGAATTTGGCGCAGTCAACGCGGTGCCGTCATCTCTCGGATTTGGGAGGAGGGAAGGAGGATCACTTGGGTCACTTCGCGGCTGTCGCTATGGTAACCAGACTAAGCGGGCGGGGCCACCTTTCCACTCTCCTACCTTTGGGCAGGGAAAGCACCCCGTTTTTCCTAATTTGGAACTAATTACTGAAGCTAGCTACTTGATTGGAATTTCAGAGTTAGAGCAGCCTAAAGGAGACGAGGAAGAGACCCGAAAGCCGATGGAGATCCTTAAAAAAAATTTGCCCTTGGGGGAGACTCAGGATACTGCCCCGAACTCATGGACACATGCATGAGTTCTTTTTACTCTCACGGTCGCGCGCGTGCGCCCACACAAGTACACGCCCTCATGTGCCTCCTGGAACCAATGGTCTGGCACTGAAGAACTCAGATGAGTAGGAAAAAAAATGATCAGCGAGTGGTGTCAACTTGCCTTGCTGTGTCCCAAAGCTGGAGACACAGCCATAATCCGATTAGAGCTGGGGGGGGGGGCGGGGTTCTGGAAGATGATCAGCAGGAGTGCAAGGAGCCTTCTGGGTTACATTTAGTCAGAGCCCTGTTTTCTCTGGGTGGAGGGCAATAGGAAGAAGGGGCCACAGTCTCTGAGAAGCCGAAAGGAGAACTGTAAACAAGAGAGAAAGAGGGAAGTGTCTTGTCTTTCCTGCCAGAGATTGAACCTGGGTAGGAATGCATCCGGGCTGGTGAAGAGGGCCTAGAACTCTCTGGAGAGCCCGGAAGAGCATAACGGAAATGGAGATTCGGAGACAGAAACCCAACTGGAGCCATGACTCAGCACTTCCCCCTGCAAAGCACCGAAGGGCAGGGCCTGGGAAGAGTGGAGGGCCTTGGGAAAGCAAGTATGTGGCTAACGAGAGACACATCCCTTTGCACGATGCATACATCAATACACAGCCAAAGGCGTATATGTGAGCTCAAGCTGGCATGAGCGCATTTATAGTGATGAAGGTTCGTTTAATTATATTATATACATACGTGCGCTCTCTGCTTCCGTGTCCCCCTTGCTGAAGCAAAGGACATTCTGTCCTGAGAGCCATGTTTGCCTGTCCCCAGAATACCTTAGCACTTACTGGAAAAGGAGAAATGTAAAAAACGCCCAGATATGGGAGGGTGGTTGTCATGGAAACCCCTTTGCCTGCCAGCCAGGGTGCCCAGCAACCAGAGCGTCTGGCAGTATCCAGGAGGCTATCCTGTGGCCTCTGCACACTGGGACTCTGCCTCAGGCATTCAGATGGGTACTTCTGGAAGGTTTCTGCCAGGGAGGTTCCCCAAACAGTGCCCCCACCCTAGTCAGACCAACAGACTATCAGGGCGAGCTGGAAGGGATGAGTAGGGATCTGACCTTAAGGTGACCCCTTCTTTGCTTTTTAAATGATGTTCTCTCTCCCTACCCTTCAAGGTCTCACTATGCAGCCAGAGCTGGGCAGGAACTCAGTGTAGACCAGGCTAGTCCGGAATTTTGAGGCAATCCTGATTGTTTTGTCTTTGCCTCCTGAGTGCTGAGTTCCAGGCAGGTACGGCTTTGCCCGGCTTTGAGTAGTACCCTTCATCCCCTTGTATGTGGTTGTCAATCATTGCTGTGTGTGGCCTCTAAAAAGGAAAGCACACTTAACCACTGCCTCATCGTTTCCACTCCCCACCCCACGCTCGCCTCCCCAGCCATCAGCTTGCTCTTAAGATCTCTTTCTGCTTGGACCCTTAATAATTATTGGCTTCTCTTAAAGTACCATCGCCATTTCTTAATACCCCTTAGCCAGCCAGCTGTCTATGGTTAAAGCTTAGCTTGAAGACTATAATTCTTAAAATTAGTCTCTCTCTCTCTCTTTATATTTTATATATGGCAACCTAAAAGTCGGGAAGAGTAACGATGAAAAATATAAATGGAGAAATAAATACCTCTTTACAAAATAAACTTCCTGCGTGACATACCACCAAGGGAGGGGGAAAAAAAGGATGGGTGCTGTGGATATCACTCTATATAAATAAAACACTGATGGCCAGTGACCAGACAGGAAGTATAGGTGGGACAAAGAGAGAGGATAATTGGGGAAACAGGAAGAAGGAGAGAGAGACACTGCAGCCACCGCCAGGACAAGCAACATGTAAAGACGCCGGTAAGCCACCAGCCACGTGGCAAGGTATATATTCATAAAAATGGGTTAATTTAAGATATAAGAACAGGTAGCAAGAAGCCTGCCATGGCCATAAAGTTTGTAAGTAATATAAGTGTCTGAGTGATTATTTTATAAGTGGATTGTGGGACTGCAGGGTGGAACCTGGAGAGAAGCCCTCCGGCAACAGATGGGCAAAGCAGTATGGTGCGACTCACAGCTATTTGGGAGGCTGAGGCTGGAAGATTCCTTGAGCCTACAGGACCAGATCAGCCTGCATAACAGACTGAGACCCTCAACTCAAAAACAAACATATTCACATATTATCACAGAGAAACCACACAAGACCCAGGAAACCCTAAGAAGATCGAGTGAAGGCAGCCATGGCAGGCCTGTGACCCCAGCACTTCAGAGGCTTCAGTAGGAAAGCCAGTTCGAGGACAGCCTGTCAAGGACCGGGAGGAGCAGAGTAGAGAGGACTTACTAAAAAAAAAATATGTGGCACTGGCGTAGGAAGAGTACTACAGTAGAGGGGGAAAGATAGTCCAAAGCTAAACTATGTCATGCTGGGAATCTAGTGTAGTAAAGTACCATTTAGAATTCCCTGGGGAAGGTGAGGAGAGCCTGTGAATGGCTTGTTTACAACTGGGTAGCCATTCAGATAAAGGGGCAGGAGGGGGGGAGCTGGGGAGAGTCAATCCTTCCTCATTCTTTACCCTCAAAATACATCTAAATCTGATCAAAGATTTGGAGGGGGGAAATGCCATATGGCTTTAGATGAGGAGCCAATTTAAAAATGTCTAGTAATGTTGTAAATGTCCAGACTTTATACTCAGACGTTCCAACCTGTAGAGTTGGTGCTAGAGAAATACTTGAAGAAATACATAGACAAGACAAGGTTTTTGTTTTTGTTTTAACTTTATTATGGCTTGGAAAGGGAAAAGTTGGACTTGATTTAAATATCTACCAGTATTTAGTCAGGGCTAAGTGCTGTGGATATTACTCTATGTAAATAAAACACTGATGGCCAGTGACCAGGCAGGAAGTATAGGCGGGACAAAGAGAGAGGAGAATTGGGAAAACAGGAAGAAGGAGAGAGAGACACTGCAGCCGCCGCCATGACCAGCAGCATGTGAAGACACCGGTAAGCCACCAGCCACGTGGCAAGGTATAGATTTATGGAAATGGTTAATTTAAGATAAAAGAACAGTTAGCAAGAAGCCTGCCATGGCCATACAGTTTATAAGTGATATAAGCATCTGAGTGATTATTTTATAAGTGAATTGTGGGACTGCGGGGCTTGGGAACCTGGAGAGAAGCCCTCCAGAAACAGCTAAGTAAACTTTGACATATCCCACTTACTGAATTTTACACTATTCAGTTAAAAAGAATGAGTTAGCTGGACATAGCTTACACAACTGTGATTTCTTCACTCACAAAGCTGAGACAGGAGGGTCATGAGTTTGAGGTCAGCCTAGGCTGTATAGCAAAACCATGTCTCAAAAAAACAAAAAACACAAAAATACAGCCTGGAGCAATTGCTCATTCAGAGGGTGGGGTTGGATTCCCAGCACCCACATGGCAGCACACAAGCCATGTAGCTCCAGTCCCAGGGGATCCAATGCCCTCTTTTGACTTCCAGGGCTACTGCATGCACAGTGATGCACAGACACCCATACACACAGAATAATTAAATTAAAT